GCCTAAAATTAACACCCACTGAGCCTGAAGATTACCTATCCAGAACAATTAACACCCACTCTGGCCGAAGTTTATCGATTCTTATTTCTACATCATTTCCGTCGTTTTGTAGTAAACTATCTTAATTGATGACTTTATTTTTTTATAATTGTCCTTCTAATAACATAGTGCACACTAAAATCATAAGGCATTCAGTATAATTAACACCCTTGGTGGAAAAATTATCACTTCGTCTTGGGTCATAATTTTTCCGTCGTGTGTTAATCTACCCTTACATCTTCATCCAAGGGCAGTAGGTTTACATTGAGTCTGAGGTTGACATATTTTTTTGGTTATCACAGACACAATGTGCGGAGTCTTAATCAGATTGAAAATTCGTAAGGGTTCCACGGAACCCAGTGTCTCGCCTACTTTTGCTGTTAATCGCAGGCTCAACAAAAATTAATTAAATTTACTTCTGGATACTATCTTATGATCATAAACAAGCTTCTGTCCAAGTTTGGTAGAAATCCAGGATAAATTGAGAAAGTTATTAAAATTTTAATAAAATGCTCCGATGGGCGCAGCTTGATACGACCGCAGAGGTCGAACCCTGAACAGTTGGGGCAAGTATGGACACATCATTCAAGCTTGATACAGCACTGAATTTGGATTGTGATTAAATATTTGACACAGCATAGGTTTCTGACACAGAATGAATGTGGTCTAAGAACTTAAAATGTTTTATTTACCTATTCAAACCATATCATTATTATTTGCTTTTATATTCAAATCAGAAATAACCAATTTATAATGGAAAATTTTAAAGAAAAAAAAGGAAAAAAAAATCCCCCCCCCCAAATTTTTTGAACCCCCTTATGATTCATCACCCCCAAACTCAACCCCAGCCTTCCCTTTGTGGTATGGTACCTTGCAGTACAATTTCATAGAGATCCATACACTTGAACACAAGTTATTGTCTGGAAACTAGAAAAATGCTTGTCTTTTGGCCCCTTTTTGGCCCCATATTTCTACACATTTAGGGCAATTACCACCAAACTCAAACCCAGCTTTCCCTTTGTGATATGGAACCTTGTTAGTTGTAGTACAATTTCATAAAGATCCATTCCCTTACACACAAGTTATTGTCCTGAAACTAGAAAAATGCTTGTTTTTTGCCCCTTTTGGCCCTTAATTCCTAAAATTTTGAGGGAATTACCCCCAAAATCAATCCCAGCCTTCCCTTTGTGGTATGGTACCTTGCAGTATATTTTCAGAGAGATCCATACACTTGAACACAAGTTATTGTCTGGAAACTAGAAAAATGCTTATTTTTGGCCCCTTATTCTTAAACGTTTTGGGCAATTACCCCTAAACTCAATTCCAGCTTTCCCTTTGTGATATGGAACCTTGTAGTACAATTTCAGAAAGATCCATAGACTTACACACAAGTTATTGTCATGAAACTAGAAAAATGCTTGTTTTTTCCCCTTTTTTGGCCCCTAATTCCTAAACTTTTGAGGCAATTACCCCAAAAAACAATCCCAGCCTTCCCTTTGTGGTATGGTACCTTGCAGTATATTTTCAGAGAGATCCATACACTTGAACACACGTTATTGTCTGGAAACTAGAAAAATGCTTATTTTTGGCCCCTTTTTGGCCCCTTATTCTTAAACGTTTTGTGCAATTACCCCCAAACTCAATTCCAGTTTTCCCTTTGTGATATGGAACCTTGTAGTACAATTTCAGAAAGATCCATACACTTACACACAAGATATTGTCATGAAAGTAGAAAAATGCTTGTTTTTTGCCCCTTTTTTAGCCCCTAATTCCTAACATTTTGAGGCAATTACCCCCAAAATCAATCCAAGCATTCCCTTTGTGATATGGAACCTTGTGGTACAATGTCAGAGAGATCCATACACTAACACACAAGTTATGTCTGGAAGTTACAAAAATGCTTATTTTTGGCCCATTTTTTGGCCCCGAATTCCTGAACTGTTGGTACCATAACCCCCAAAATCAATTCCAACCTTCCTTTTGTGGTATTGAACCTTATGGTAAAATTTCATAGATATCCATTCACTTAAACTAAAGTTAGAGTGCGAAAACCAATGGGTCTTCGGACGACGACGACGACGACGGACGACGACACCAACGTCATACCAATATACGACCACAAAAATTTTTTGCGGTTGTATGAAAACTTTAACCACAGAGTGAATGTAATGTTTCCTGGCAGAAAAACTAAGTCCATTTATAAGTAAAATACGGAAAAACAGTAATTTTTTTTTTAACAAAATTTACTTCTGGATACTATCTTATGATCATAAACATGCTTCTGTCCAAGTTTGGTAGAAATCCAGGATAGTTTAAGAAAGTTATTAAAATTTCAAAAACTTTAACCACAGAGTGAACATTTGTGGATGCTGCAGCCGCCGACGGAATGTAGGATCGCAATGTCTCGCTTTTTCGACAAAAGTCGAAGGCTCGACAATAACTAGAGGCTCTCAAGAGCCTGTGTCGCTCACCTGTATTTACTGATGCTTTGGAAATCATGTAAAATAAGGTTAAAATCATAATTAATAGTATTAGATATAAGATATTATAATGATATCTAATATAACAAAAAACTGCAAAATTTCTGTAAAATTACTAACTCAGGGGCAGCAACCCAACAACGGGTTGTTGGATTCGTCTGAAAATTTCAGGGTAGATAAATCCAAATGTGATGAACATTTTTGCCTGCTGTCAGATTGGCTCTAAATGCTTTAGTTTCAGAGATATAAACCAATAAAATGCTCCAATGGGGCGCAGCTTGATACGACCGCAGAGGTCGAACCCTGAACAGTTGGGGCAAGTATGGACACAACATTCAAGCTTGATACAGCACTGAATTTTGATTGTAATTAAATATTTGACACAGCATAGGTTTCTGACACAGAATGAATGTGGTCTAAGAACTTAAAAATTTTTAATTTACCTTTTCAAACCATATCATTATTATTTGCTTTTATATATAAATCAGAAATAACCAATTTAAAATGGAAAATTTTAAAGAAAAAAAAGGAAAAAAAAATCCCACCACCAAATTTTTTGAACCCCCCTATGATTCATCAACCCCAAACTCAATCCCAGCCTTCCCTTTGTGGTATGGTACCTTGCAGTACAATTTCAGAGAGATCCATACACTTGAACACAAGTTATTGTTTGGAAACTAGAAAAATGCTTGTTTTTTGGCCCCAAATTCCTAATTGTTTAGGGCAATTACCCCCAAACTCAAACCCAGCTTTCCCTTTGTGATATGGAACCTTGCAGTACAATTTCATAAAGGTCCATACACTTACACACAAGTTTTTGTCTGGAAACTAGAAAAATGCTTATTTTTGGCCCCTTTTTTGCCCCTTATTCCTAAACGTTTTGAACAATTACCCCCAAACTCAATTCCAGCTTTCCCTTTGTGATATGGAACCTTGTAGTACAATTTCATAAAGATCCATACCCTTACACACAAGTTATTGTCATGAAACTAGAAAAAATGCTTGTTTTTTTACCCTTTTTGGCCCCTTATTCCTAAAATTAGGAGGCAATTACCCACAAAATCAATCCCAGCATTCCCTTTGTGATATGGAACCTTGTGGTACAATGTCAGAGAGATCCATACACTTACATACAAGTTATTGTCATGAAACTAGAAAAATGCTTGTTTTTTGCCTTTTTGGCCCCTTATTCCTAAAATTTGGAGGCAATTACCCCCACAATCAATCCCAGCATTCCCTTTGTGATAAGGAACCTTGTGGTACAATGTCAGAGAGATCCATACACTAACACACAAGTTATGTCTGGAAGTTACAAAAATGCTTATTTTTGGCCCCTTTTTGGCCCCTAATTCCTTAACTGTTGGTACCATAACCCCCAAAATCAATCCCCACCATCCTTTTGTGGTATTGAACCTTATGGTAAAATTTCATAGAGATCCATTCATTTAAACTTAAGTTAGAGTGCAATAAACCAATGTGTCTTCGGACGACAACGACGACGACGACGACGCCAACGTCATACCAATATACGACCTCAAAATTTTTTTGCTGTCGTATAAAAACTGCATTTTACCCCTTTGTTCTATTTCAAACCAAGTCGGCCATGATGGTTGGAAGGCAGGGTCATCGGACAAAATTTTTAAACTAGATACCCTTGACTATAAAAGGCAATAACTTCTAAAGGGGTCGACTGACAATTTTGGTCATGTCGACTTATTTGTAGATCTTACTTTGCTGAACATTATTGCTGTTTACAGTTTATCTCTATCTATAATAATATTCAAGATAATAACCAAAAACTGCAAAATTTCCTTAAAATTACCAATTCAGGGGCAGCAACCCAACAACAGGTTGTCAGATTTGTCTGAAAATTTTAGGGCAAATAGATCTTGACCTGATAATCAGTTTTAAACTATGTCAGATTTACTCTAAATACTTTGGTTTCAGAGATATAAGCCAAAATCTACATTTTACCCCTATGTTTTATTTTTAGCCATGGCGGCCATCTTAGTTGGTTGGCGGGGTCATCGGACACATTTTATAACTAGATACCCTAATGATGATTGTGGACAAGTTTGGTTAAATTTGGCCCAGTGGTTTCAGAGGAGATTTTTGTAAAAGTTAACGACGACGGATGACGACGACTGACAACGGACGCCAAGTGATGAGAAAAGCTCACTTGGCCCTTTGGGCCAGGTGAGCTAAAAAGGATAATTTTACTTGTTTTACTACAAGGTCAGTAGATTAAGATATATGGTAAACAGTTATTAAAATTAAAGTCCTCTAATAGGCAGGGGAAAATGTACAACCAATTGATACATACAAGTATATCAATAACTTCTCATCAAGATATTGGAGAAAATGCATCAATTTGATATGTCTAACATATAATAAAGGAGCATGTATGTGTTGATAAAGAAAGAAACAAAGTAATGACAAAAACTCAATCTCATGAATTGAACAGTTAACAAACATAACATATATATTTTATAACATTTTATTATTTCTCAGTATACATATGATAACTGCCTCTATAGAATTTTCAAAGTCAAATCTCAACAATGAAAATTCTCATCTTATACATTAAAACCAAGTAGCAGGTTAAAGGATCATAATATGTCACTAATAATAAGGTACAGATGAGATACTCTCCAAACATAACAAATACGAATAAAAGGAGATGTGGGGTAAACACAAAAATCCACTTCAAATAAATCAATCTATCTTATAAAAGTTTTTATTTGTTTGCTGTCATATTGGAGAGCAACTCGCACAAATACCTTCATAAACCAAATAAATTCAACTTGTTATAATCATCTTTAGAAAAAATTTATTTATCTTTATTTCAAATTCATTACTACAATTTTGTAAGGATCTTTCTTCAGACTTGGTTGGGCCATGTTCAATTTTGGGTCAGTCAAATAAGTCTGCCATCTAACATGGTGGTCAAGGAAAATAACTCCTAACTCAAATTACATCAATCAATAGAAAATTATCTATACAATGTATAAAATCATTCATTTTGCTATATCAGAGTTGTTTAACTGGTATTACTACATCATTTCAAATGGGAAGCGTCTTGAAAATGAACCAATTAAGAAATTCAACTTCAATCATGTTTTCCACCAAACCTCTTAAATGACATATTGACCAGTCAGAAAGTCCAATGCAACTTCACTTCTGAATCAGTTCATTATCATAAAACATGTTTGCAATATTCATTTATTAAGGACAAATATTTTCTGGCATCAATTTCAAGTTTTCTGTGTAATCTTGATGATAAAATCAAGTATTTCCTCCATTTTATATTCTTTTATTTGTAACCGACCAAATCAGAGATTGATGCCAGCATGTACTTGCATATAATACAATTGTTTCCTAATTAATATACACATAAACAAGAATGTGTCCATAGTACACGGATGCCCCACTCGCAATATTATTTTCTATGTTCAGTTGACCGTGAAATTTGGGTCAAAACTCTAATTTGGCATTAAAATTAAAATCATAGGGAACATGTGTACTAAGTTTCAAGTTGATTGGGCTTCAACTTCATCAAAAACTACCTTGACCAGAAACTTTAACCTGAAGCGGGACAAGACGGACGGACGGACGAACGAACAGACGCACAGACCAGAAAACATAATGCCCCTACTACTAGCATAAAAATATACATCTTTTTTAATTGTACATGCATAGTGACAGTGATATAAGAAAATACTGTGTAGGTGTTCAACTTCATAATTAGCAATAAAAAAATGCAAAATGAAACACATGCATATTTTCTAAAATTAAGCTTAGCAACACGAAAAGTTATATTTGTGATAACCTGATTTTTATCTTGGCAGACTAGTTGAAAAGTGATAAAATACATAATGAACTTGAAAAATTTCATTGAAGCATCTAATGAAAGCTTCAATGAGTTGAGCTTTTTTTAAATGCATTCAATACCGGACATGAAAATGAATCAACATTGATTTAAATATATACATTGATGCATCAACATTTCAAATCTTTAAAGTTAAATGATATCAATGTGTATTGTAACTGTTAAATTAATTATATTCACAGAGTTTAAATTTCCCTATTTCTATAATTGAAGGTTTTCTGTTAATCCACGATTGTGATCATCTTAAAATATCAAATTTAAACGATGGGAAATTTTTCATGATTTTAACCTAATTATCAAAAAGGTGAAAACCCTCCCTTGAAAATTTCCCACCTTTCAGTATACATAAGGTGATTCAGGTGTCTGGATGATTTATGCTGAGATTGTTATTGATGTACCCTCAATTCCAGTATTTTTTTTTTGGACCATAAGTTTGTTTATTTAGTTTTAAACATAACATAAGAAACAATCATACTCTAATATTTTTGCTGATGAAATGAAAATGATCTTACTCTTTATCGCAGTGATCTTACCAAAAGAAAATATGCAAAAACGAAATTTAGCAAACATTTGTCCATGAGTAAAAAAAACTATATTATGAAATAGCTGATATCTTTCATTCCATGATGACAGTCAGTTTCTTAAATGCTTTAAATAAGATTTTTTTTTTAATCTATGTAACATGCATAAAAAACATCTTGATGGTTACTATATATATATCATTAAATAACATTATGACAATGACATGACCTATATGATTTCAAAAAAATAAAAAAATAAGTAACTGTTGTTAAAACCTACAAGAACAAAAAAAATTGGACATTAGAGATTTGTTTTGTTGAAACTATGAAAAATCAACTTTAATGGTTCTTTTTTTAATGAATGTCTATTTTTAATCAATGTCTTTTACTTCTGAAACTGTACATGCAACAGTAGACACAAGGTGATTCACCTAAAAATCACTCATTCTAGTGAATTTTCACATTGAAGTTGATGATTGTGTTTGAATCACTGGGAAATATCTCTGTATTAAAGGAGAAGATATGATAAGACTACATTTTTGTCCCATTGAATTTGAAAATCAGAAGTATTATCAATCTACCTTATAACGTCCTTCAGAAAATTAGTCTCTCCGACATCAGTATTCATATTTTTGAATTTTGTCTTACATACATGTATTAAAGGATGTATTTAGTATGACGTCCATTATCACTGAACTAGTATACATATTTGTTTAGGGGCCAGCTGAAGGACGCCTCCGGGTGTGGGAGTTTCTCGCTGCATTGAAGACCCATTGGTGGCCTTCGGCTGTTGTCTGCTCTATGGTCGGGTTGTTGTCTCTTTGACACATTCCCCATTTCTATTCTCAATTTTATGTATAGGCATTAGGGCTTCTAGATTATTCCATATTATTAAAAACATTTTGAGATCTTGTCATTAATACATTGTATTTAGATATGAGGAAAAACTTTACCCTTAAAGATATTTTTCTACAAAATGTATTTACCAAAGATGTAAATGTGTATAATATATCTTTTTGGGTAATGTCCTTGCTCATACATTCTTTTACCAAAAACTATGCGCAAATGGCCATTTTAGGTTAAATACGTTAATTTTCATAGTAACATCACATTCTATACTGAAGTTTCCAGATTAAAGCAACTGGTTCGTTTATCAATACAATTAGGTGTCAGCATGATTTTTAAAGGCTTGAATAAGTTAAATTTCATTGTATGTAATATAAGTATTTGTTTCCTAATCATCAAACATTAACTGCATTTTTCATACCATATTAATCCCTTTTAAGATTCCCAGTTCCTGACTTTATATCAACCAAATCAGAAAGCCTCAAACTCTTTATTACAAAACAGAGTTTGTGACATGCAATATAAAAATAAGAAGATGTGGTATGCAAGACATAATTCTGATATTCAAAGAAAGCTTTGAAGCCACTTTTTTTCTTATCTTTAAAATACTAAAATGTAACAAATTACAAAATTCAATAAAAAAAAAGATAATTTGCCTTTCAGAATCCAAAGAACTATGAGTCATTCTGCTGTTCATTCACCAATTTAAAAGTAACATTACTCTGACATGTCAAAAGCTTTAGATTCTGAAACAGCAAATTATGTGATCAGCTGACATAATTCACATATAAAATTTTGTTTCCTCTAGACTGTTATGGCTGTTCCATTTGAATGGTAGGAAGGGACTTCCAAAATTCACCCAAATTTAACTTGCTATCTTTTTTAGGAGTAATATTTACAGACATCTAATCATAGATGACCCATGACCTATGTCCAAAAATAAAACTTCCCTTCCTCATTCATTTCAATGGATTAGCCATTCTGTAAACCAACTTATTTTCGTGATTACTTTATTTCGAGTTTAGCCCTTTCTAGGCACCTTCATAATGATTTATTTTCACAACATTCTAATTTCCTAATGTATTTATATGAGGAAAGATGAAAGTTTTACATATTCAAGTTATTTTTCTATTCACAAAAGATGCAAATATAAATCACTCCCGAAAGTTAGCTGGTTTACAGTATACAATAATATTGTATATAACTGGTTTACAGTATACAATAATATTGTATATAACTGGTTTACAGTATACAATAATATTGTATATAACTGGTTTTACAGTATACAATAATATTGTATATAACTGGTTTACAGTATACAATAATATTGTATATAACTGGTTTACAGTATACAATAATATTGTATATAACTGGTTTTACAGTATACGATACTATTGTATATAACTGGTTTACAGTATACAATAATATTGTATATAACTGGTTTACAGTATACAATAATATTGTATATAGCTGGTTTACAGTATACAATAATATTGTATATAACTGGTTTACAGTATACAATAATATTGTATATAGCTGGTTTACAGTATACAATAATATTGTATATAGCTGGTTTACAGTATACAATAATATTGTATATAACTGGTTTACAGTATACAATAATATTGTATATAACTGGTTTACAGTATACGATAATATTGTATATAATTTATGTTTTCTGTCTTTTTGTTGAGGTTCTGGTCTGTCGTAATGGTTTCCTCTTCAGTGAACTCTGCGGTGAAGTTTCCACGACCCTTTCTGTCATTAGTAATCTGCTATTTCTAGTCACGTCCTTATCTTCCTTCAGTTTTGTTATTTCAGAATAAATATCTTCAAACTTTACGTCATATTCTAAAATCTTTTTATTCAGCTCATTTATTTTCTTTTGTTGTTCATTAATAGTTTCTGTCTGATCATTTAATTTCTTCTTTTGATTCTGAATTTTCTTCTCCTGGTCCAATGTTTTTTTACGAGTTTCTAACCAGCGATTTTTCATATCAGTTATCTCCCTTTTGTACTGTGTAAGAACAAGAGATTGTGACCTGAACTGTCCATTCAGTCTGGAGAGTTCATGTCTTATTGGAGGACCTCTTACTGCTGATGGTGTTGTTAAAGATATCACAGGTGATGACTGACCTAAAACAGAATTAGATAAGCCAGTGAATATGTGATATTCAGGATTCAAAAAGGATGATAAAATGGAGAGGAATATCTTTAAAAATTATGGTGGAATCATTATTTATAGGGTACTTATTCTAATGGGTTTCTTGGGTACAGGTAAATTAAGAATTAAGAGTATTCTACAAAATACAAATTTCCTTAAGGCTTGTTTGGAAAATGTCAGAACAATATTAATGAAATTAAGGATCCTGAAAAATACAATTTCCTTAATTCAGAATGTTGATATCAATGAATAATAAATGTATCTTTTGTTATTTAATCAGTTGCAGTCCAATTTGCAAGATCAAATGTCTTCGATTCCAAGGGCTTTTTTCACCAAAAAAATCTTACAATCAATTTTCATAAGATATACTGAAATACTCATGACTTACAAGTATTTTTTGAACATTGATAAACAAATTCTGATAAATTGTGCCAAATACAGGTAAGGGTATATATCTTTGTCTGGAGATGAAACAATTAGAAAACCTTTTAAAAAATTATTTTGGTTTTTGTATTCAAACTAAACCTTTTTCATTTTTTTGTTATTCTACCTGATGTATCAGGACTACTACAAGAATCATTAAAAGGATAGGGTAACGGCAGATCAGGAAGTCAGTGTGTATAGATTATTTTACCTGATGTATCGGGACAACTACAAGAATCATTAAAAGGATAGGGTAACGGCAGATCAGGAAGTCAGTGTGTATAGATTATTTTACCTGATGTATCGGGACTACTACAAGAATCATTAAAAGGATAGGGTAACGGCAGATCAGGAAGTCAGTGTGTATAGATTATTTAACCTGATGTATCAGGAGTACTACAAGAATCATTAAAAGGATAGGGTAACGGCATATCAGGAAGTCAGTGTGTATAGATTATTTTACCTGATGTATCGGGACTACTACAAGAATCATTAAAAGGATAGGGTAACGGCAGATCAGGAAGTCAGTGTGTATAGATTATTTTACCTGATGTATCGGGACTACTACAAGAATCATTAAAAGGATAGGGTAACGGCAGATCAGGAAGTCAGTGTGTATAGATTATTTTACCTGATGTATCGGGACTACTACAAGAATCATTAAAAGGATAGGGTAACGGCAGATCAGGAAGTCAGTGTGTATAGATTATTTTACCTGATGTATCAGGACTACTACAAAAATCATTAAAAGGATAGGGTAACGGCAGATCAGGAAGTCAGTGTGTATAGATTATTTTACCTGATGTATCGGGACTACTACAAGAATCATTAAAAGGATAGGGTAACGGCAGATCAGGAAGTCAGTGTGTATAGATTATTTTACCTGATGTATCAGGACTACTACAAGAATCATTAAAAGGATAGGGTAACGGCAGATCAGGAAGTCAGTGTGTATAGATTATTTTACCTGATGTATCGGGACTACTACAAGAATCATTAAAAGGATAGGGTAACGGCAGATCAGGAAGTCAGTGTGTATAGATTATTTTACCTGATGTATCGGGACAACTACAAGAATCATTAAAAGGATAGGGTAACGGCAGATCAGGAAGTCAGTGTGTATAGATTATTTTACCTGATGTATCGGGACTACTACAAGATTCGTTAAAAGGATAGGGTAACGGCAGATCAGGAAGTCAGTGTGTATAGATTATTTTACCTGATGTATCAGGAGTACTACAAGAATCATTAAAAGGATAGGGTAACGGCAGAGTAGGAAGTCAGTGTGTATAGATTATTTTACCTGATGTATCGGGACTACTACAAGAATCATTAAAAGGATAGGGTAACAGCAGAGCAGGAAGTCAGTGTGTATAGATTATTTTACCTGATGTATAGGGACTACTACAAGAATCATTAAAAGGATAGGGTAACGGCAGATCAGGAAGTCAGTGTGTATAGATTATTTTACCTGATGTATCGGGACTACTACAAGAATCATTAAAAGGATAGGGTAACGGCAGATCAGGAAGTCAGTGTGTATAGATTATATTACCTGATGTATCGGGACTACTACAAAAATCATTAAAAGGATAGGGTAACGGCAGAGCAGGAAGTCAGTGTGTATAGATTATTTTACCTGATGTATCGGGACTACTACAAGAATCATTAAAAGGATAGGGTAACGGCAGATCAGAAAGTCAGTGTGTATAGATTATTTTACCTGATGTATCATGACTACTACAAGAATCATTAAAAGGATAGGGTAACGGCAGATCAGGAAGTCAGTGTGTATAGATTATTTTACCTGATGTATCGGGACTACTACAAGAATCATTAAAAGGATAGGGTAACGGCAGAGCAGGAAGTCAGTGTGTATAGATTATTTTACCTGATGTATCGGGACTACTACAAGAATCATTAAAAGGATAGGGTAACGGCAGATCAGGAAGTCAGTGTGTATAGATTATTTTACCTGATGTATCGGGACTACTACAAGAATCATTAAAAGGATAGGGTAACGGCAGATCAGGAAGTCAGTGTGTATAGATTATTTTACCTGATGTATCGGGACTACTACAAGAATCATTAAAAGGATAGGGTAACGGCAGATCAGGAAGTCAGTGTGTATAGATTATTTTACCTGATGTATCGGGACTTCTACAAGAATCATTAAAAGGATAGGGTGTAATGGCAGATCAGGAAGTCAGTGTGTATAGATTATTTTACCTGATGTATCGGGACTACTACAAGAATCATTAAAAGGATAGGGTAACGGCAGATCAGGAAGTCAGTGTGTATAGATTATTTTACCTGATGTATCGGGACTACTACAAGAATCATTAAAAGGATAGGGTGTAATGGCAGATCAGGAAGTCAGTGTGTATAGATTATTTTACCTAATGTATCGGGACTACTACAAGAATCATTAAAAGGATAGGGTAACGGCAGATCAGGAAGTCAGTGTGTATAGATTATTTTACCTGATGTATCGGGACTACTACAAGAATCATTAAAAGGATAGGGTAACGGCAGAGCAGGAAGTCAGTGTGTATAGATTATTTTACCTGATGTATCGGGACTACTACAAGAATCATTAAAAGGATAGGGTAACGGCAGATCAGGAAGTCAGTGTGTATAGATTATTTTACCTGATGTATCGGGACAACTACAAGAATCATTAAAAGGATAGGGTAACGGCAGATCAGGAAGTCAGTGTGTATAGATTATATTACCTGATGTATCGGGACTACTACAAGAATCATTAAAAGGATAGGGTAACGGCAGATCAGGAAGTCAGTGTGTATAGATTATATTACCTGATGTATCGGGACTACTACAAGAATCGTTAAAAGGATAGGGTAACGGCAGATCAGGAAGTCAGTGTGTATAGATTATTTTACCTGATGTATCGGGACTACTACAAGAATCATTAAAAGGATAGGGTAACGGCAGAGCAGGAAGTCAGTGTGTATAGATTATTTTACCTGATGTATCGGGACTACTACAAGAATCATTAAAAGGATAGGGTAACGGCAGATCAGGAAGTCAGTGTGTATAGATTATTTTACCTGATGTATCGGGACTACTACAAGAATCATTAAAAGGATAGGGTAACGGCAGATCAGGAAGTCAGTGTGTATAGATTATTTTACCTGATGTATCGGGACAACTACAAGAATCATTAAAAGGATAGGGTAACGGCAGATCAGGAAGTCAGTGTGTATAGATTATTTTACCTGATGTATCGGGACTACTACAAGAATCGTTAAAAGGATAGGGTAACGGCAGATCAGGAAGTCAGTGTCTATAGATTATTTTACCTGATGTATCATGAGTACTACAAGAATCATTAAAAGGATAGGGTAACGGCAGAGCAGGAAGTCAGTGTGTATAGATTATTTTACCTGATGTATCGGGACTACTACAAGAATCATTAAAAGGATAGGGTAACGGCAGATCAGGAAGTCAGTGTGTATAGATTATTTTACCTGATGTATCGGGACTACTACAAGAATCATTAAAAGGATAGGGTAACGGCAGATCAGGAAGTCAGTGTGTATAGATTATTTTACCTGATGTATCGGGACAACTACAAGAATCATTAAAAGGATAGGGTAACGGCAGATCAGGAAGTCAGTGTGTATAGATTATTTTACCTGATGTATCGGGACAACTACAAGAATCATTAAAAGGATAGGGTAACGGCAGATCAGGAAGTCAGTGTGTATAGATTATATTACCTGATGTATCGGGACTACTACAAGAATCATTAAAAGGATAGGGTAACGGCAGAGCAGGAAGTCAGTGTGTATAGATTATTTTACCTGATGTATCGGGACTACTACAAGAATCATTAAAAGGATAGGGTAACGGCAGATCAGGAAGTCAGTGTGTATAGATTATTTTACCTGATGTATCGGGACTACTACAAGAATCATTAAAAGGATAGGGTAACGGCAGATCAGGAAGTCAGTGTGTATAGATTATTTTACCTGATGTATCGGGACAACTACAAGAATCATTAAAAGGATAGGGTAACGGCAGATCAGGAAGTCAGTGTGTATAGATTATTTTACCTGATGTATCGGGACTACTACAAGAATCGTTAAAAGGATAGGGTAACGGCAGATCAGGAAGTCAGTGTCTATAGATTATTTTACCTGATGTATCATGAGTACTACAAGAATCATTAAAAGGATAGGGTAACGGCAGAGCAGGAAGTCAGTGTGTATAGATTATTTTACCTGATGTATCGGGACTACTACAAGAATCATTAAAAGGATAGGGTAACGGCAGATCAGGAAGTCAGTGTGTATAGATTATTTTACCTGATGTATCGGGACTACTACAAGAATCATTAAAAGGATAGGGTAACGGCAGATCAGGAAGTCAGTGTGTATAGATTATTTTACCTGATGTATCGGGACAACTACAAGAATCATTAAAAGGATAGGGTAACGGCAGATCAGGAAGTCAGTGTGTATAGATTATTTTACCTGATGTATCGGGACAACTACAAGAATCATTAAAAGGATAGGGTAACGGC